ACCGAGTCTATGTTTGCTGTGATACACGCGCTGAATTAAAGTGACAGCACATTGTTTGCAGTACATATGAAAACGAAAATGTAGCAATTGCACCATAAATGCATTTAATTAAAGTATACTGTCTTTCACAGTCAACACATATGGCTTGATAGCTAGTTTTAAAGGAAAAGAGCACTTTTAGGTAAACAAGGCAATAATAGATGCACTCGTGGAGGTAGGAAAACAAAGTTCTTTATTTAGCAGGATTGCTTGTAATAAAGATTTCAATGCAAAAGGAAAGGCAGTAGAGCTGACTATTTCTGTCAATGGTAAGTTTGTGATAACGTAAGAAAAGTAGTTGAAATGTTTTGCCACTTGCTTGAGCAACTTAATATATAAATCTAGAATTAAATGCAAAAGTAAAAAGCATTGAATAATGTGTTGCTCATTTATTGTGTTTAAACATGTCTATGAAAGATTGTATTACTGTACTGTGTAAAAAAAGAATTGCAATGCTGAAAAAGCATTTTCAGTGACAATGTTTGGATTTTAAATCAAAATAATGTTATGATTATAATGTTGGAATAAATGTTGTGTTTGTGGTAAACAGCCACGGATCAGTAGCGGACTCCTGTGTGAAAGCTGCTTCCCCTCTCACAAGAGTCACCTCAGAGGGGAATTCCCCCCATTTTCAAAAATGAAATTCAGGCCCTGAATAAATGTCTAAAATCCTGATTGAAGTATCACTATAAATAGTTATAAATTATAAAAAGAAGGCTTTAAAAAGATCGGTATCAGTGATCGGTATCGGCAGATACTGCTTTCTGTGATCGGCGATCGTTGATTGGCCTCAAAAATCATGATCGGAGCACCCCTAAATTTTATTATAACACAACGCAGCCTGCTAAAGGTGTTACAATGCAATTGGCTTAGTTCCACTGTGCAATAACATTATACATTCATTTCAAAAAGAGTTTATAGCTGCACTACAACTCAATCAAATGACATCTGGAGGCCTGTGTCATTGATCTAATTAAAATCAGATGAATTGCTGATCTTTTCTGTTTGGCAGGCTGTAAGAGTGCGAAACAAATGGCCAGTTAAATTCAGTGATTTAAATTTTTGGTAAAAAAATTTTTTTCACTTTGACTTTTGCTGAATGCATCGGTGCACAGAGGAATTTAGCACTGGACGTTTGATACTTTTTTTTAGTTACTGTATTTGTTTTTGTCATTATATGTCATATTGCACAATGATATTGTATTTTACCATCATGTTACTCTCGGAATCTCAAAGAGCATAATTCATAATGTGTCTTTTTCAACAATCTCTTGTGAATTATTTGAACGAGGTGAGTGATATGGTGGTGTTACATGCAAATTTGGTTCTTGTGGCCCACGCCTCTCTCATTCGCTTCACCCTTAGCCCCATCCGACCGGATCCCTCCCATCATCCGCCAAGGACCGGCCAACCAGACGCTCGTTCCAGGCACCACCGCCCAATTGCAGTGCCACGTGATGGGCAACCCTCTTCCGAGCATCCAATGGGAGCGCGACGGCCAGAGAATCCTGGGCAATGACGAGCGCATTAGCCTAATGGAAAACGGCACTTTACAAATCACAGCCCTGCAGGTACTTCGGTCAAGATAGTTTTTAAGTGTGCTCATGAGGGTCTGTTTTTCATGGCTTTTATTTTCCAAAATGCTAATCCCCTGGGGATATTAACATATGTTTTTTTTTGTTTTGTTTTTTTAAATCGAGCCCTATTCTTTGCATGTTGGCTCTCTTCATTGACAGATACCATATGCTATTATACGATATTCCATATGAACGGATTTCACTTGCCGTGCATTTTCAGACACGCCGATGTGACTTTTAAACACAGATGATTGCTGTAAAATGTCATTACTGCTATCGGATCAATGGCCGGGGCATAAAACATGCAATTGAGTTTACAGCAAACAGGCAGGCTTAATTAGCAGATCGATTTTAATACTTGCTCCGTCGACAGTTTTGGGGTGACCCAGCCGCTCATGCGAGAGTTGTGCACTGTGATAAAACTGGTAATTATGATTGTAATGGGAGTGTGTGCTGTCGTTAGTGTTAGTGCATGCTAGCCTAATGGCCTCAGGGGTGTGTGCAATTGCAGGTTTCACCTGAGGTCGTGGCACCGCCGTGAACAGGCCTGATGTGTTAATTGATTGTGCCCGGGAATGATTAACAGTCACTCATGCCTTAATTAAATGCTCATTCTGGGATATAGAATGGTAGGGAGGCTAGCAATCTCTATGTGCTACTCGCAGCAACCCTGTACTCTCTGCAATGTTTGCAACACTTTAAATGTGCCCTTGATATTCAGTACAGTGGCTTTGTGGACAGCTAGCACCAAAAAAATCTTGAGTTTTGTTTATTTGGCCTGTTAAGCGTTGCATGCTTTGTTCAGATGGGCATCTTTGGCTCTGGTGTTGGCCCCGTCCTCTCTGGTCTGGTGCCTCCGTTGGCCCCCTTTAGTCCACGATTACCCCGGCATGATGGGAGAGCACAAGGGGGCACGGAGACTGGGGTTTGCACAGATGGTAGTGTGTGAGTGTGTGAGGGAAGGAGAGAGAAAGGGAGAGCGCTGTGAAAAGGTGCCATTATACCGGGAGAATCGCCAGAAACTGCCTGCTCTCAACTGTGCCAGGGGAGTGAGGAAAAATAAATGTGAAAAATAATGAGTGTGTGTGCGTGTTTTCTGAGAAAAACTAATAGCTTGGAATAGTTCACCCCAGAATTCAGTGATTATTTATTCTCCAGCACATTGTTCCTATAAAGCTGTATAGCTTTTTGTTGTAAAGGGAGATGTTTTGAAGAATATTCTGGGTTAGGATTTTTAGTATAATGAAAAGTGAATGAGGATGGGGCTGTCAAGCTACAAAATGACAAAATAAAAACCATGAAAGCATATCATATGACTTGTGCACTGTATTTAAAGTCTTCTGAAGCCATATGATAGCTTTGTCTGAGGAACAGACCAGACCAGTGTTTTTTTTTTTATATAAATTTTATGCTAGTATTTATTAATATTTTTATGAGCTTTTATTTGTTTTTGTTTTTTCCCATTTTCATTTTAATTTTAGTTTAGTAATTTTATGTGCTTTTGTCAGTTTTATTCTTTTTTTCCCTCTAAATTTCTTTTTCATTTTAACTTATTTTTTATTTCAGTTGTAGTTCAATCATTTTAATACTTTAACTTAGTTTTTTTTCCAGTTAGGTTTGGGTTTTAGGTTTAAGTTGATCATCTAATATGTCTATTTTGAACATTTGAATACTTTTGGTTTTAGTTAACAATAGCAACAATTGCTTGTCACCTTTATAAGAGTTCATGAAAGTAGTGATTAATGATACATGACAAATTATTCTTTTGAGTCAAATCTTTTCAATGAATCAGTTGATTCAGTTCACATTTCACAAAATGTTTACTTGAATCAACTAATGTTGAATCATCCAATTCATTCAAAGTTCTGACTCAAAAGAATAAATCTTTCACAAACCTGACTGACTTGGTTCTCAAGTTAAACTGACTGTGAACTGATTGCAGTGGTTAAACGCCCACTTCAGGGAAAAATGTTTAGGCAACTTATATTTCAGTCTGATGTATGACTTCAAAAGATTTGAAATATAACACGAGTCATGGTGCTTTTGTGTTCTTTTTGAACTTGAAAGCCTCAGTTCCCATTCATTGTAATTGCACGGAAAAGAGTGGCCAGCATGTTCTTCAAAATATCATCTTTTGTGTTCCACAGAAGCAAGAAAGTCATAAGGTTTGGAATGAGATGAGGGTGAATAATAATGACAGAAGCTTTATTCTTTATCCCTTTAAATGAGTAGAGGATGTGAATGCATATTATCAAAATATTTATCTTCCGATTTCCTTTTCCGCTCATGTATTTTAAAGTGTGTGTTTAGCGCTGAGCCCAAAGCTGCCATCCATGATCAATCAGTCGATGCCCAGTTGCTTACCTCTCTGAGCTCTTCCAGTTTTCCACCAATGACTAAGCCAGCACAACAGCGGTCTAACCAATGAGGTTATCCACTCAAAAGAGGAAGAGGTCACAGGTCACAGAGAAAACAGTTTCTACACCTTGCGTTTGCTCTCTTCCTCCTCCCAGGAGAGATTAATAAGTGACCAAAATAACACTCTCAACACACTCCTGTACTGCCTGAGGATATAAAGCTACTCTTCGGTACATGGATTCAGTTTCAAACAAGACATTTTCTGGCTTTTCTACAAATATCTGCTGTTTACGTCAGCTGCTGTTTAATTCACGCTAACATGCATCGTGCTAGTCTCTACATGAAAAACGAGATTAAAGACAAAACAGACACATCACAAGTAAGCAGACAGTAATTCGAGGTCATGGCATGTGGATGTATGTGTGCATCACCGATGAGTCAAATCCTCAGACATGTCATTGGTGCCCCTGAGCTGTCAGCACTATTAGATCGCTGTCACGGAGAGATAGAAAGAGAAAAGCTTTAGTACATCTCTCACTGCCGTAAGCAATTTCTGCCTGACTTCTCCCCTCGGCCCTGTGGTAAAAATGTAATGCCCTTCGCCCTTCCCACAGCGCGCCAATTTGTCTTTGTATTTCCTTTTTCTTTCTGCACATTCAGTACACCCATGCTAACTCAGATGATAGACACGAATATCTTAAATCGAACTGAAAGATTAAAATTCAGTTGCGTTCCCACAATGGAAAGGTTTTAAGACTCACAGAGACACTAGTATGAAACTCTGATGGATTCATCCGATTAAACTGTCCAGCCTGGTTTGCTTTTTTAAATTGTTTAAAGGGTTAGACAGTGGCATATTGATTTTAGTCTAGTGTTATTTGCATACACTAGTTTGAAGTCAGTAAGATTTTTTTTTTAAATCGGCATGGATGCATTACAATGATAAAAAGTCACTATAAAGACATTTATAAAGTTTTCTATTTCAAATAAATGTGGCTCTTTTTATCTTTCTAATAATCAAAGAATCCTGAAAAAATGTATTTCGGTTTCCACAAAAATTTTAAGAAACAACTGCTTTCAACATTGATAATAATAAGAAATGTTTCTTGAGCACCAGATCAGCATATTAGAATGATTTCTGAAGGATCATGTGACACTGAAGACTGGAGTAATGGATGATGAAAATTCAGCTTCACTATCGCAAGAATAAAATACATTTTACGATATTTTAAAATAGAAAAAAAATTATTTTAAATTATAATAATATAGTAGTGTATATTAGTGTGGTAGTAATGGTTTACTGCACATGAGATTTGACTATTGATCTGACAATTGATTTCAATGGAATTTGCTGTAAGCATGTTGCTAAACTAATTATACGATACTCTAATAAGCACAAAAATATATAATGCACACCAATATTGAATAAAACACTCTATTGTAATTAGATTGAACTATTTGTATTCATACTTTTCAGTATTGAATGAATTACACATATTTGTAATAGATATAAGGAGATTTTCTCAACTTGAATGTATATATTTGCACTTGTCACAGTGCATTATGGGATTTCATTCTTTGTGAAAGATACAGTTTATAGTTTGCCTGTAATAGAAGTAATTATTTTGTCTCTGCATTAGGTACATGCCTATGATGCTGTAAAAATATGCCAACATATGCAGCTCACTAGGTTTCACAACAGCACATTATTTTCTTCCTGTCGCTAACTTTAATAGTAATAACCGTTGATCCTGTATTATTGCGAAATAATAGGCAATTTCGAGGAATTTGTGCTCATTTGTCAAGATTTCCACGCTGCTCCAAGTGAAGTGAGGCAATGCATTGTGCTCGAGTTTATCCATACAAATGCTGACCCTGAACCTGCTTTTGCTAGGAAACGGACTCCGGGGCCTACACCTGTGTTGCCTCCAGTTTGAGTGGAGAGACGAGCTGGACCCCCGCTCTACTGCTCGTCACAGTCATGCGAGGGCAACTACATGCTGTGCTTACATCTCACATCCTGCCTGCTACAAGAATCACTCCCCTCAGGCGGCAAACTACTGCCAAAGAGATCTAAATTAATAGCAACTCTATTGGTGTTCTACAATTGAATTTCAGACACAGACTGGAGAACTCTGGCTTATTTAAAGGGGATATAGTTTTATGAATTATTGAATTATTTTGCACATATAGGTTTGTGCCAGTTTAGTAATTTAGCTTTACGTGGCCATTTTCCACCCTCTTATTAAGAGGCTTGCAACTGCCTGTTATGTAATGGACTCTGTTTTGATTGGCTAACCTCTGCATATCGGCATAGCTTAGGGCAGGCTAAGTTACTGGGCAGTTATGAGTTCATGGTTTTGGCATCATCACGATTTCTGAATTATTTTATTTCAATTTAGTTTTTATATATGTGCTTGGTGAACCCGGTTAAGCATAATAATGGAGCTTCAATGGGTGTGACAGTCATGGCAAAATAAGTTGTCGGAATAAGTGGAGTAGGTAAAAAAAAAGCTTTTCTTAGTAAAATTGAATAGAAATATTTTTTAAAAACCTAAATAAAAAGTGTGTGTGTGTGTGTGTGTGTGCCTGTGTGTGTGTGTGTGTGTGCGTGCATGCGTGTATGTGCGTGTGTGTGCCTGTGTGTGTTTACTTGTTTGCAGTTTTTTGATGAAGGCCAATTTTTTGATCAAGGCTCACTTACACTCAGTATGTTAATTTAATGTTTAATTCAGTCATTTTTAGCATGTTTTCTGAATTTGATTTTACTTTCTAAAGACTTGGTGGAAGTTATGAGATTAATTGTGCTTATTTTATTCTCTTGGCAGCTCTAATAAGATCATCTTTTTTTTAATACAATGAATAGAAAAATACATGCTCTCAGCTTTTGAGTATTTTGTCTGTAAAACATGGAAACTATTTATTTTGTAACGATTTGCTTTAATATTATCAAAAAGCCAATTATTTAATTAGTATAATCTCACACAGTATAAATGGGTTTATAATACATTAAAAAATGCTTTTATATTTTCCAAAATGGGTCCCTCATAAGGGGATCATCATATTTGGGTGTCCTTGGCATAAAAAAATAAACCCTTGCACTAGCTGTTTTGGGGTTTGTTCAGGCCATGTCCACACGTACACGGGTATTTTTATAAACAGAGTTTTTCCTTCTTCCATTTAAAAAAAAAATCTCTGTCCACATGAAAACGCAAACACATGCTATGAAGCACTGTCAAGAGCATGCCAAACCAACAGGTGGCGATATAATCTCAACCGTAAAGCCATGTTGGCCAGTCAGAAGCCTGAAAAAGTTTCCAGTAGGCGGAGATAACAGCGCAGGCTCCGACATCACAAGCCAAAAACTCCGGTTTCGCTGTCTACACGATAACACTGAAACCCGAGTTTTTGAAAATCTTCACCCTGGCAGGCGTTTTCAAAAATGTTCGGTTTCAGTGAATTGGTGCTGCGTTTGCGTGTGGACGAACGGCCTAACCGCGTAGAAAAAGCTGCGGTTTTAAAAATAACCGCGTTCGTGTGGACAGGGCCTCAGTCTGCAAGAGGTTTGTTCATACAAAGTCAGCTTGAGAAATGTGCTCGCTCTGAAAGCTGATGGTCTCAGTATGATTTGCTAATGAATTCAAATGTAGTCCACACAGACACTTCTTTAAGCTATTGTAAGCTGGCTGAAATGGGGCTACCTCTAATTACAGAACCAAGGTCCTGCAGTCCTTAGAGGGAGAGCAGCCAGCAAAAGGGCTATTCGGCAGTGGAGATGCAGAGTGCCACACACACACACACATTTTCATTCTTTCTGTATTTCATGTACACACACTATGTCTCTGTCCTCTCCCTTGCCCCCCTTGGTAACAGTTAGCATGGCCCCACATCTTTAAAATTGATTCTTTATAGAGTGCTGTGGGACTGAAAGGGGCGTTTGCTGTAAAATTTCCTTCCCAGCGGTGCTGTGGAACACGGAATGCTAGGAAAGGGAGGTAGGAGGGTGGTGGAGAACAAACGAGGGATGGAAAAGAACTGAGATTGCGGATGAGGAGAATTTAGGCTTTTGGGTTTAGGATTTTGACACCTCAATACAGGGAAAAAAAAGGTTTATATTCCGGCCCACTTTTTGAATTTATGCACTTTTATGCAGGTGTTTATGTGCGTACAGGAGCACCAATCACGGTTCTGCTGGAGAAAAGGGAATTGTCTATGCTTCAGCCTTTCCCTGTTTCTTCCATCCCAGCTGATAACAAAGTGACCTTGGATTTATCGCTCCTATCGGTGGGTCGCTGAAGGAATATTTACGAGGTTCCCAGCATTTATGGCTTGGCCTAATTGTGCAGGTCGGGCTTTTATTGGCTTTGTGTCTGCGGCAGGAGTTGCCACCGGGGAAAATTAAACCTTGAAAGTACCACACGTGACCACTGCTCTAAACAAGGATGATGGTTAACCACAGACAAGTGAAGAGGAATATCTCAAAGCCTTCTGGCACAGACAGATGTCTGTGCTTAACGTTCATTGTTTATTAGAGGGGGATGCATGTTATGAATCTTGCTCACCTGTACGCCACATCTAAGTAGCTCTCTTGGTTCTCATTAAATTATTCTTGTATGTTTAGGCGTGATCTGGATGTTAATAAAAAGCAGAATGTACTTAAATTGAAGCTGAAATGTATCCCTGTACAGAATCAGCCAATGTTTTCGGTTTATATTTAATAAACTCTCAGTTCAGAATCCATTACATGCAGTGTTTTGACTGCATTATGACAAGCCTAGTCTATGCCATAAATAAATCTATCACCACAGAGATCTTTTTCTAGTCACGCCATGCACTGTCAAGCCAAAGGGTACAAGAATAGCATCACAGAAGAGCCGGGTCATTAAACAGACACGTGTAATGACAATCAAAAGAGTTCAGATAAACATCTATGACACTGACTTTGCTGCTAAACCCTCCTCTCTCTAATGCCATACAACAGCTTCGGGACAAATGTAGGACAAAACATTGGTGTATTGATGTTTTATTCAGATTCAGCTGTATGAATCTGCTGGTTTTGATATTGTAGAGCATAAATAAACACATATGTAATTGATGTTTATGTAAATATGATGAATAATTTAATGTAGTAATATAATCTTTCTATCTATTTTTTCAGCCAATCAGCAGGCAGTACATGGCAGACGGTTGCAGATTTTGTGAAATTGGAGAAGCACACGGTCACTGGACTGTCTCCGAATACCATTTACCTGTTCATTGTGCGAGCGCTCAATGCTTACAGCCTGAGTGACCCCAGCCCCATCTCAGAGCCTGTACGCACACAAGGTCTGTACACTGGGGACCAATCAATTTTATGACCTTTTTAAATAGAGATCTTAAAAAATGTGTGAACGTGTTATACAAATTATGTGTTGTGTAAATTTTAAGTATACAAACAAATTACAGGTGAAAAGCAAAATAAATTGTGCCTGTTTTAAAAGATTACATATAAATCAATTCCATTCAGTGTGGATTGGGGCTAATCATGAAAAATATTTTACACCAAATGCAGGAGAAAAATGTTTTATATCTATATTTTGTATTATATGAGTAGTAGTATCCTACACTATGTGTCAGATTTATGACCTATTATTTGGTGGTTTTGACCATTTCAATGATATATTCTAAATTCATATATTTGCATAATTTAAAGATGTTAATATCAGGTGTTTTTTGTTCTTTTGCAGCATAAATCAGGTCATAAATCACCAATCTGACACATAGTGTAGGATACTACTACTTATATGTTTTTATTTTATAACAAAAATTAAATAAAATACAACAAAATACTATGATATATATAAACGTTACAATAATAAAAAAAAGTTAATATTTTGTTAATATTTGTTAATAAAAATATGATGTTTTCCCATATTACATTAATTTTTCACATTAAATAATGTCACAATACATAAATCAGTAATGTCACAAAAGTGAGTCCTACAGGTCAAGGTGTGGACCATCGGCAGGTGCAGAGGGAGCTGGGAGAGATGGCTGTGCAGCTTCACGAACCAGTGCTGTTGACAGCATCCAGCATGAAGATCAGCTGGAATGTGAGTGTCGCTAATATCAGCCCCTCACTGGCCTTTTGATTCTCCTGCCGGCTCACCTTATCTCATTTCTCTGTCTCGGTCTCCCTCTTTCCATCTGTCAGGTCGATCGTCAGTCTCAGTACATCCAGGGTTATCGTCTGCTTTATCGTCCTGTCGGCGGCTCCTGGTCACAGCAGGAAGTGAAAGCTGCGACGGAGCGTAACGCTGTCATCGCTAACCTGCTCAAAGGCACGGAGTACGAGATTAAAATACGACCCTACTTTAACAAGTTCCAGGGCATGGACAGCCGCCCGCTGACGTTTCGCACGCCAGAGGAGGGTGAGATATCTGCAGCTCTTTCAGTTTCCATTTGATGCACTTCAATTTAATTTCGTTCTAATCAATTCAATTCGGGTTTATTCAGCCCAGCCCGACTCAATTCTGTTCTGTTGTACATAATATGAAGACGAATCGCTTCATTCAGGCAAATAAAATTATGGAGAGGGCTAATGTAGATTTACTATTAAGGTTTATACACTTTTCAAAATGTAATTTTAATTGAATTCTCTTCCAGTTCCCAGTGCCCCCCCTCGTGCTGTAACCGTAGCAACAGTCAAGCTCAGCAACAGCTCAAGCATCAGTGTATCATGGCAGCCTCCTCCCACTGAGATGCAAAATGGAGTCATCCAAGAGTATAAGGTATATTTCAGATTGCAAAAGTCAGACCACAAAAACAAAACAAACTTCTTATGTCCCAAATACATGCAAAAACTGTTTCAGTTCCCATGGACTTCTATTGTATGGACATAAATACAATGAAGGTCAATGGGAAACTCTTTAATGTTGGATGTTTCTTGGTGTTCTTTGCAGATGTGAGTTCTACAGGTCAAGGACCAGGTATTTTTAGGTTCAGATCTAAGTCTTATCTCTTTTCAGGTTTGGTGTCTGGGTAACGACTCTCAGACGCGCTACCACATCAATCAGACTGTGGACGGGAACTTGCTGACCACTTTATTAAAGGGGCTTCTACCCGGTGTGTTGTACCAGGTGGAGGTGGCGGCAGTGACCAGTGCAGGAGTGGGCACACACAGCCAGCCTGTATCTGTGCTTATCAGTGAGTGCTTGCTAAAAAAAAACAGCCGTGACTATTAAACTAAAAGAATTAAAGAGTGGAGTGAAGGGCTTGTGGAGTAGAAGTACCAAGAATTGTGTAAATTCTCTTTGATTGCTTTTTAAAGTCCCGCTATGAGACTAAATTGCTTAATTCTTTCCAATAAGCTGAGTCCTATTAAGACATTCTGTCTGAGTAACACTTTGATCTGTCTTTTCTCTCTTTTTCTTTCTCTCCTTCCTTTTCAGAATTGCCCGCAGAGCAGCCTACAGTCACAGGTGGAGGCAGCGAATCTGACGAGAATGTAAGTCTGGCTGAGCAGATCTCAGACGTAGTGAAGCAGCCTGCCTTCATCGCAGGCATTGGCGGGGCATGCTGGGTAATCCTTATGGGATTCAGTGTGTGGATCTACTGCAGACGGAAGAAGAGAAAAGAGCTCAGCCATTACACAGCATCATTTGCATACACACCTGCGGGTATGCATGCACATATCACACCAAATAACATTTGACATTAAATAATGATTTAGCAGTGTTATTTTATATACTATTATAGTAGTTATTTTGTATTTGCTTTTGTTTTTATATTTTCAGTTTCATTTTAAATTAGATTTTAGTAATTTTATGTGCTTTTGCCATATTTTGTTAGTTTTTGTTTTTCCTAATATTTATTTTTAGCTTAAATTTATTTTTATTTCAGTTTTAGTTTTAGTAATTTTAGTACCAAAACTTATTTTATTTCAGAAGGCAATATTTCTAATTAAAAAAATTTTAAGTAATTTTTTTATTTTTTCCATCTCATACTTTTTTTGTGAATTTTATGATTTCAGCTTTATTTTGGTTTATGAAGATAAGTTTAGTTAACCATCAGAGCACTCACATTTAGCCTAATAATTTCTGCCTGTGGATCAGTTGCATTATATATATATTTTTTTTTCATCTCTTTACAGTTGGTTTTCCGCATGGAGAAAGTTCTGGACTTAATGGAAGGTAAATGGAACTTTTAGCTTCTTAAGCATCAATTCAGAGTGTAAATACATTGACTTTAGTTCATTCTGTAGTTGTTGATATTTTTGGACATGTCTGGATATGTAGGCCTGGTATGCTGGGTGCTAACATGGGAAATTACCCATGGCTGGCTGATTCTTGGCCAACTACCAATCTTGTGCACAACGGGAAAGACTCAGTGAACTGCTGTACATCTAAACATGACACCCCGGAGAGATACTATAATGGTAAGACTCGCTTTTATAGAACAACACCACTGGCTGTACTGTTAAATTAATTTAACACTGTTTCCACAGCACAGAGTCTCATTAATTAAACCCTAATTAATTTACCATCGCTTCCTTAGAGGCGGGAATCTCTAATTACCTTAACCAAAACGAGAAGTTCAGCACAGACTCCAATGAAGGCCCCATCTACAGCACCATTGATCCCACCAGCGAGGACCTGCGCAGTTTCTCTGCTCAGTACTCTCAACATACCACTCCTTACGCCAGCACTCCCATCATGCCTTTCACCAACCAGGCGCCCTGCAGCCCTGAACAAGATGGGAGCCACTGGATGACTCAGCCTGGAACCTCCAATGTTCAGTATGCCCAGCCAGAGCGCTCCAAGACTGATAACGGTATCATTTCAGTCTTATCTGTTTCCTTCAGTCCTAATATGAATGCTGTGCTTGGCTGAATAACAGTATTACTTTAGAATTATTTATATACTATTATAGTTATTTTTAAATATTTTGAAATAGTTTTGATTTTTACATTTTCAGTTTTCATTTTTTCAATTTTATGTGCTTTTGTTATAGTTTTTGTTTTTTATATTTTTATTTAGCTTTAATGTACAGTTTTAGTACTTACATTTTTTTCAGTTAGCTGCCATGGCAACATTTCTAATTTTTGTTTACGGTTTTTAAGTTTAAAGGGGTCATATGATGCGATTTCAAGTTTCCTTTTTCTTTGGAGTGCATAAACAATTTCATTACACCAAATATACAAAATAATGTTCTTTTTAGCAACATCATATGACCCCTTTAAGTTTTCATCTAATATTTATATTTTAGTTTATTTTAGCTGTATTTCAACAACCTAAAATTATTTTTAGTTAACAGTAACAACACTGCTGAATAAAGGTGTTTTTCATTAAAAAAAAAAATATTTGCTTGCTTTCCTACAGTAAAACAACCAAAGCAGAAGTTGATGGGGAAGCCAGTGAAAACGCCATCTCTCAATTGGATGGATGCGTTGCCGCCACCCCCTCTGTCTGGAGAGCTGAACGAGTGTGAAGAGGAAGATGATGATGAACTAATCCAGGACATGAGGTAAAGTTCACTAGAAGGCTAGAGATTCATTTCAATGCTGTGCCAGCTTTTGTAGCATATTTTAAACTAAAAAGCTACAATTTTAATACTAATGGTGATGTGACATGTTATTTAAACAATCTTGAGAAAAACTTTCAATCTTTATTCAATTATATAGGAGCTGAACTAGTAGAAAATAGCCAAAAATTCCAATCAGAACTTTGGCAGACAAAACAAATGTCAAGTCTCACCTCAAGTTCTCACACACCATGTCAGGAATTCTTTAGAGTTTTTAACTTCATTACCATGTCTACATGAAGACATCTTTTACCATTTTGCAGCATGCTGGCTAGCTGGGAACATGGCCTCACTTAGCCTTCTGGACAAAATTTTGCTGATTGTTCCAAGAAGAGTCAGAATTCACAGGGCCAGAGCAGTTTGATTGCTGTTGACAAGGCCGTATATGGAGGCTAACAAAGTTAGCGATATGCTGCCCTTGAATCTGGCCTGTTTCCTCATGATGGCCTGACTGAATTATGTTTTCTTTTCCTGGTCTGTATCACATTAGCTCCTTGTTAGTAAAGCGCATGGTCAGCAGTAGCCGCACAATGCCCCGGCCGCGGGCGCTGACAGGTTGTTTCTGCCACCACTTCAGCCCAATAGCTGCCCGTGAGGGGCACTAACATGGCCGAGTCACATTAGCCGTAGCGGTTAACCAGCCCTGACTCACAGTGAAGATCTGTGAATCTGATAACCGTGACATAGCCCCCCGCAGTAACCGCATTAGCCAGTGAAAGGTACAACCCTTCTCAAGTTCCTTCCTCCGAGCATTAGACGTCGTTCAAGGCACAAGCAAGCAATGCAACACTGACAGCCAGACTGGATTTTCATCACTAGTCCTCAAAAGTGTGATGAACTAGTGGCTCATAAGGTTAACCTTTGTGGCAGCCTGAAGGCAAGAACATCGGCTCTGTTACTGCATTATGACTATAATTTAAGAACTCACCCTTCAGCTCAGCGAGGCTCAAGAACTCAACAGAAACACCAAGCAGCCGCATACATACTAAACCAAGAGTGTGCTGTGTGTAGGTGTCATTCAGCTCAGAGGTTTGCCCTCTAAGTGCCCAAGGCATAACATTGAGTCAGTGTCACTCAAAATGCCACTGCATTTAACTTCTTTTCCATCGCTTTTGTATGGATTGGTCCCGCGAGAGCTAAAAGATCACGCATATGGTTATCTGGAGGCCAGGCTGTCTCATTTGACACAACAGCAGCAGGAATCGATATGCCACCGGTTGCATTGGCCTGGTGATTACTGCAGCAGGCAATCATAATGAGTGAGCTGTGATTGATTTAGCAGAGGTTCTGGAGTTACTTAACCTTATGCTAAAAATGAGGGAATTTAGTTATAGAGCAGAAACGAAGTCACTTATTCTCCCACTCTAAGTGAGAAGGGCAAGCGAGTGATAAGAAAAGTAGATTTTTTTATTTATAATAGAAATATGGCAGGTAGAGTATGTGCTCTGGCAAATTTGATGTTTTCAATATGATTATTATTAAAAAACATTGTAAAGTCAGCTTTTTAGTCATCTTTTAGGGCTGCACTTTATTTATAGACATGTAAATAATATTGAAACTTTTTTTCTCACTCAGGTCCGATGAGGAAGAGTGGTGTCCTCCTCTCCCGGATAGGACTTACCTCATGGATGGTGTGATGGAGGACGGTCCCGCTCCTCCTCCTAGAGGAGAGGCTTCTTCCCCCACCACATCCTACAGCCACCAATCCACCGCCACCTTAACCCCATCTCCCAGAGACGATGGCCACTGCCACGATATACCACGACTACATCAGCTCGAACAGCCACAGATAGCACGGTGAGACGCGTAAACCTTCAAATACTATTTCACAATTATTTTGTGCATTTGTATTTTTTGTCAGGTCAGCATTTCACAGTTTATTTCACTTTTATTTTCAGCATAAATAGCTTTTTTGACAGTTTGAGTTGTGCACAAGTCAACAAGATTTGCTTGTTCTAAACTTTATGGTGTATTTCAAAACAAATTTGAGATGCAGCATAAATTACATTTGTTTTATTCTTGAGGTGATGTTCACTTTAAAAATACTTAATAAGCCATCCTTCATCTTTCAGGAAACTGCTCTCCTGCATTTCAGTTCTCTGCATTAATAGAATAGATTATTTGTTTTCATTCTCTTAGGAGAATTTTTAGTGTCATTATTTGTTCCTGCAGGAGAAAACATGTTTTATGAATAATTTATTCCGTATTTGTAGATTATCACGGCACAGAGCAAATATTGAGACTCTCATTAAGCTTCCTGCTAGACTGCAGTTGCGCCAAGTTTAGACAGATCATTCACTTTTACAAAGTGCTGATCTTGGCCTACTATGTTTTTCATTTAATATGAGTTCATATAATAGTGTTCATGTGCCTTGTTAGCTGCAGCTCTGGGTTAAAACACTGAGATCCTTTGAATGGGTATTTCATGCTGTCAAACGTTGTTCTAACTGACCGAACATATTTGTTGTGGACAGTCGGTTGCCGTGTGGACCAGTGCCAGTTCCGAGAGCACCAAGCCCTCCTCTAATCCAGTCCAACCCAAACCTGTCAGCCAATCAGGAGTGCCCTGATGACACTGTGCCACACCGTTTAGCACATAAACGGGACCCGAGACAAGGAGCTGCCCAAAGTGTAGAGAACATCAGCAACACCACGCCAGGTGTGTTTCTGTTCTCTATATAAATGTGCCACAGACGTTTTGCTACTCTAGAAGAAGTAAAATGCCATTTTCATGCTCCCAGCAATCTAAAATTCCACATTTTCTACCTGAAGCAACTTCTAGAATAGCTACAATTGTTTTAGTCACTTCATTGTCATGTCTCATCCCCCCTTGTAGGTCGAGCGAGGCCCTCTGCAGACCACATACCTCCTGGGCAGAAGTCCAAGGTGAAAAAGAAAACCTCCAAGAGCGGTCAATACCGAAGAGATGTACTGCAAGGTGGTGAGTTACTGACCAGGCCTTTTCCAGAATGAAGTTAGTTAATCATTTATCCTGCTCCTGCATACTTAACATGCTGGTCACATCTCTGCAGATCTGCCCCCTCCACCAGAGCCGCCTCCTGAGGCTGAGGTCGACTGTGCTCAAGTAGGGGGATTCGAATGTGGGCAGACGTCCCTCGAGAGAGTGGGCAGCTCCCATTCCTCCATGGAGAGAAGAGAACAGAGCACACCCAATCGGAAAAACTCTTCTCATAGACAAACGTTTTTTTAATTTTTTTTTTTTTTTTTTTTCTACAATTATTTCTTTATGTTGTATATAAAAAATAATGTATATTATTATTATTTTTTTTTTTAAATATATAGGATTAAATGGACTGGCTTTCACACTTTTGAACCCTAACAGTATGGTTTTGTTTATGTGGCTCACAGCAGAAGATGATTTAATTCCTTACAACAAGCCCAACTTCTTGTCTCGGGGTCAGATGTCCAGCAATTGCTCCACAACAGGAAGTTCATCATCACGGGGGTCAACAGGATCACGAGGACACGGAACGGGCAGGAAGAGAAATGATGTAAGACTAAGTAACTTTTCTCACACTGTAGAAAACCATTTTCCTAATCAGTATTTTTGTCTTTTTTATCCACTTAAAACATTTAATAATCCTTAAATCAAGAGTAATATTTTCTATTAAATATGCATGTAAATTATTTACTGTACTTAATTTATGCAAATTTATAAAAATGGCACAAGACTTGTTTTCTAAATAAATTTGAATTTATTTATTATAAGCTTAGGATTTTTCTATACAGGCAAAGTGATTAGCTTTTTTTGCTTGAAATAAGAAAATGTCTTGCACAATTTTGTTTCTCAAGTAAATCCATCTTGTTTTAAGGATGCTTAGATATTTTTATAGTAATTCAAGACAAAAAATTAAGACACTGATTAAGATTAAGACTGATTAAACAT